CTATAAGAGGATCGAATAAGTTTTAAACGGCAACTTTCGTAGTATGACAAGGCCGCAGAGATGAGGAATTTATTTTATCCTTGGTTTCTTGCCTACGTGCACTTTGTTGGTCTACCCTGGAACGCTGGCATTCATCACACAAAACGTTCACAGTCAAGCTCCATCAAGACGTCTCTTGATAGACTGCCACCCTACGCAAACGCCAATTTATTTAGAAAACGATCTTTCACTAACGATTAAAGAATTGAAAACCCCGTTAAAACGACATCTGCCACGATTACTAGGAGACGGCTCAAATATGCTCCTGTCAATTAATTTGGTCTTGGAGCCCACTAACAAGATTCAAGTTTCTGCAAAAGATCTCCCAATTATTGGGAACATCAGCTATATGATTTACGCATCCCAGGGTTACTTTCATTGTTTCCCAGGATAAAATCAGAATTGAATATCCTATTACATTGTACTTGATATTCATGTTTCTTTAGCTTTTTGGATAAATCACCAATCCCATTAAACCGTCACATACCTCACAAACAAATGGTGGCGGCTTATTGAGGTTTGACTGCAGGACATATAAGATTTCATTTTAAGGAATAAAAGAAGTACAGTACAGTACTGTACTTGAAATGTGAACCAACATTGAGCTCAGATTTTTCGAGAAGCTCATGCTCATCTCATTTTTGCAGCAGGCACTTCAAGTCAACGTTGATCCTCTTTAAATCAAATTTCAAAGGACCAACAACAAAATTTGACTCAGGTAGGTTTCAAGTTGGTAAGACTACCATTTATGCATATGCCTTGAAAAATATATGATTAACGTGGAGTTTCAACTCGGATGCAAGGGTTAATATTCCCACGTTTCTTTCACTTCCTTTTCAAAAAGAAGCATGAAGTTACATTTCACAACTGTTCTTTTCTCTTCAGTAGGTCAAAAAATTATAAGCCAGAATGCCTCCCGAAAATTTAAGCAATAGAGGTTTGAGGGGGAAAGCTTTCGAGTTGAAGTTTGTAATACATTGTTTCAAAGGGGATTTAGACACAGACTATTACTGTATTACACACCATTTTTAATGGGGCAGTAAAGCTTTTGAGACACGACACCAGTGCCATTCCGCTGATCTCCTGCCCACTGGTAC